CCCAGCGCGCGCCTCGCACAGCCAGGCTGTCCCTCCGTCTTCTGATGAGAATTCCGCCCTCCCGTTCCGCTTGCGCCGGGGGGGGAGAGGCGATGGCCATAAAGCTTGGGTTCGCCCCTGGCGCATGGGGCTTCAATTGCACGTACTGAATATAATCGGAACGCAGAGAGAACAGCACATGCACACCGTGAATGAGTCACATCGAATGCATCCATATTGCGTGCATGCCACGCGCCTTTCCTCATTTCCTTCCCCTTCGTCTCCCGCCCTCCCTCCCGCCCTCCCTCCCGTCCTCCCTCCCGTCCTCCCTCCCCCCCTCCCTCCTTGCGCACCTGTCCCGGAGTGGAGTACGACGCAAGGAGGTCCCCGGCATCGATCGACACGTGATACAGGCCTTCCGCCGCTGGCTTCGTCTCCAAGACTTGCACACGCCCCCAGGTAGGCTCCTCTTTTCCCTTTTCTTCCTTCTTCGACGGAGGCGTTTTGGCCTTCCCCCCCCCTCCCGAGGTCCCTGCGGCCAGATATCTTCTGTGGCCGCACCTGCGGTCGAGGGGACAGCTGCGAATAGGCAATGTGGAAGGAAGTACGTGAAAGGGGGGGGGATGGGTGGCGAGAAAGTTGGATACTGACCATGCGAGAGGAGAGGCTCAGGAAGTATCCTCGTGTTCTGTCCCTCCCTCATCGGCGTCCGATAGACGCAGGCACGTACCTATGAAAGCCATGGAGGGCCCCCGTGGTGGGCAAACTGATGAACGCGGCAGTGTTGGTGGCCGTGAGGGCATGAAGCAGGACGGGTAGGAGGAGGAGGAGGAGGAAAAGGGTGGAGGTAGATGTGGGAGTCATGTGTGTTGCTCAGGGGAGGTTGGACCGCAGTGGGGTACGAAACACGAAAAAGCAGTCCTGCTGTCATTGGGTGGGAAAGGATGCGATAAAAGACGTGTGAGGGTCGCTGTCAGCATGCGCAACGTTGTCTAACCAAAAAATGGGCGGCTTAGTCGCTTCCATACACGGGTGGGGCTGCTTCTAGTAAGCAAGATCCATGACCAGAATGCGAGAAGCTTCCGCTCTCCTGTATCATCTCTTATCAGCGCTTTGGACCTATACACATGCGTTGAAGGCCACTAAGCAGACAGAAACCATGTTATTCTCGTAATTCTGACTTCCAATGATGGGCTTTGCGTTCACTTTAGCCTACTCATTCTCGATCTCGACCTCCTCCTCTCACTTGTTTAGTACGTCAAGCAACGGGGGGCTGGTTTGCGGACTGGTCGCCTCTACATTGATATCCGCCAGCAGGGAGGATCAGCGCATTACATGACTATGCCTTGGTTACCACGCGCGGCATCAGGCGCCTCTCTGCTTCGCTCCAACTCCTCCTCTCGCACAGCATCCCTTTTCGCCTTGCTCGTCCTTGGCCCGCTTGCGACGACCTTGTCGCATGCCTTTTTAATTTTCCACGCACGGCCAGGGCCTTCCTCTATAGCACGCTTGCCTGCTTCCGCCCTTGGCCTTTCTACACCTTTTTGTCTCCCTTCCTCCCTTCGGGCCGTGCCAGAGGGTCTCCTTAACGATGATGGAGAGCCCCAGTACGACGCTCCAGCCCGCGCCAAAATCGAAGAATTGATAAAAAACAACAAAATCGTGCTTTTTATGAAAGGAACCCGATTGTTTCCTTCGTGCGGATTCAGCAACACGGCCATCCGGATCTTGGATCAGTTGAATGTAGGGTCAACAGGGGGAGAGGGGTGGCGCGAATGCACATGGGAAAGCACGACGAAGGATACCAGGGCCGTTTGGGATGCTTTTTTCCAAATCCTTTATCTTGGGGAATGGGAGATATTTGTCTGGACTGATCTTCCATTTCACCCATGCTGTGCTCTTCTTGGCAGGTGGAGTACGAGACCGTCGACGTTTTGGCCGATGAACGCATTCGAGGGGAGATCAAAAGGTGCTTTTTGGTTCTCGAGTTATTGTGCCTCTACTAACGATATTTTTTTATTTTTTTTGCTTTAGCCTCGCATTGCTTGCCTGTCACTCGACACGTGGCGAGTGGGGAAGACCTCTTTTTCCTCTTCCCTCACCCCCATTTGAACATGCTTCCGCAGGTACAGCGCGTGGCCTACCATCCCTCAGCTCTACTTACAAGGAGACTTCATTGGTACGTTGCTGTCACCAGTGGTTCTCAATCTATCGTGTGCGAGCGAAAGAGCAGTTCCTGCCTTCCAGATGCATGGTCACATTTTCTCCTTCTCGTCCTCCAAATTGTAGGCGGATCCGATATCATACTGGAAATGTATCAGACTGGGGAGCTGCAAGAAATGATTGAGATCGCTGCTGCCTCGTAAAAGATATGTTCGTGGCCAAGGACGGTGGAGATATCGGCCTCCGGAGTCTGAGCTCGTCTCGGGGATAGCGACGCCTTCCATTGCATCGCTTGGCTCGTCATGATACACAATACATCGGTTTTGAGTTTTTGTATCAGAACTGAATTAAAGAATCGACCTTTGCATTTTCTACCATTTCTTTAGTAGCACTATACATTGATTAAAGCTCACGGTGCGGTGAAAGAAGGTAGAACATGCAATTTATCAGTACTTTTCCCCCATTTTTATGCTTTTGGATTATATTTTTCGGTCAAGGAGAAGGTTGTTTGTTGTGAGACCCATTTGATACAGGTCGGAGCAGACACAACCACTTCCACTACTATATAATGTCATAGCAAACTAGATGCTTGTCTGCGCTAGAGTGAAAGAGAAACATCAGATGGATAGTCTTTGCCTCACACTTGACGCGCTCTTACCGGTCACCAAATCCGCCACGGGAAGTCTTTCCGCGCTCATTACACAACAATTTTTTATTTTTCAAAGATCAAGCTGGCACGTGTCAAATACACACTTCTTGTATCGTAGTTGAAGCGGGATGTACCACATGTTCTATGAAAAGTCAGCAGGAAGAATGGGGGATAAAACAGCACACAACGGAATTACAGTATGCCGTACGCCTTCCTCCGTTTTGGTGCCTATCATCTGTATCCTACTCTTTATCCTTGATTCAAATCCAAATGCTTTGTCGCTGATTATCAGAAGTGTTCAGCAATCCCCGGGCTTTGGCCCTCCATGAGGACGGTCGGCCTCCTGATCTCTTTTGCAGAACTGTCGTAAGTCTCAAAACATGCTGCCTCTTTCTGTCAACGATAAAAGTTTGTATTTCTTTTTACTTAAAGGTGGATGTCTCACACACCATTCTGATGCTCTGCAGGCTGGAAAGGAGACTTTATTGTGAACATTGAAGGGGAGGTTTGCGGTCACCAACACTGGCCATGTCGTTTGGCGGCATGATCGAGAACACAGTACGCTCGCTTTCGTGAGGAATCGTGAAAATTCTTTCCACTCCCACAATTTTTTCCACCCCATTCAAAGATAAGAGCGAATCCCCCTGTAGCCGAGTAAGTGGTGCATGAAAGTAAACGAAAACAGAACCGCAAGGCAGTAGCATATATCAAGAATATAGTTATCAGGGGCCTCCGAGAGCAGACATCCTTGTGCTCGGGCGGCCTTTCCTTCTTTCCCCTTTTTTAATCAATAAAAACTTTTACATGGGGTCTCTGCGATTAAACCATATAAGTGGAATGCAATTACAAATCACGTTCTCCACTGCCGTAATCATTATCGCGTCCCCACCCTATGGACCGATGACGTCTGCTGACGCCTTGGACTCCCAGACGTCAGGTCGGGTGGCCCATATTGTCTAGGTGGCTAGGTGGTATACATAATATATGCCCTTCCTTTCCCTTTTTTGCCAACGGGAGCAGATTTGCCCATAGATTATGTAGATGACGCGTGATATACATGGTAAAAGCAGTAGCTGGTGAGTCGCATTTCGGTAAGTGCAAGCGCCATCACGACCGACTAGAAGCGACGGGTTGAAAGCAAGCTGTAAGATCAATCGCTTACATCCTTTATTGAGACGCTGAAAGATGGTCATGGTCATTTCAACTCTGTTGAAATTATGTGTTTCGTAATCGTGTAGATGAATTGAATATATTATACACAAATACTTTATACACATTGATTCAGAATCACAGAAGAATGAAGACCAAGGGAATAGGGCTTGATCATTTGCTTCCTTACAAGTGGCGGCGAGGAATTCATTATTCCTATGTGGCATGCGCCCTTCTTATCTCGATGTGGACTTTCAAATGATTATTACCAAGAGAGGGTGTCCACATTGATAGTTGGGAAAACGAACATATAAGGCACACGACATCCGATGAATGGAAAGGACGGAAGACTCAAGACGTGATGTTTTTGGCCGATCCAAGCACTAAAATGACAGTATTTCGCAACGACTTTCCGGGCTATCTTGGGTGGCCTCATTTCTGGGACAAGGCACACAAAAATAAATGGGAGGCAACCACATTCAAAATAATACAGCATTTTCTGAGGGGCCACGCAGAGGCCGCGTACATTGATTTCGGGGCGTGGGTGGGCCCAACAGCACTATTTGCTGCTATCTTCTCCAATCATGTCTACGCGCTAGAACCTGACCACAACGCATTCTCCGGGCTTGTGGCTAATGTAAACGCTAATTCTCATTTGGAAAAACATATCGAGCTTTACAACGAATGCATCAATACAGAGACGGGGCCGATGACTTTCAGGGGTATTGGTGACAGCACTAGTCGCTTTCGCGATGACCGCGGTGTCTCCACTTGGGGAAATAGGGAGACAAGACACGAATGGACTATCAGCTGCCGAACGTTGCCAGAATTTATTCAGCAGGAGGGAATACGTCATCTGCGACTCATCAAAATTGATACCGAAGGCGCAGAGCTTGTTCTACTCCCCTCATTAGTAAGCTGGTTCCAGAGCTTACGGCATCCAAAGCCTGCTATATGGTTGTCGGTGCATCAGCCTTTTTATGATAAAGATGTTCCCACAAGCTCCAAGGAGGCTCTTTGGACGGCGATAGGAGAATACAAATTCGTGTATTTAGAGGGCACAACTCTGGTAGACATTCAGAAGAACAACTCGGATATGTTGTGCAAGGATTTTTGCTCCTATATTCTGACAGATGACGAGTTTGTTATGCCGCTATAAGATTACTAGCACTTGGAGCTATGGCGAAGGAATAAAAATCCTATAAGAGTTTGAGAGCATTTTGAGTACATCGAGAAAGAATTCTGTTCCTATTTTCGAACAGCTGCTAGGATTGTCATCCTGCCCAAAAGCTATAGCTTCATAGTAGTCCTTGTACTTTGGGGGAATGAACGAAACGCATCTCGTCACTCATCAAAAAGTAATAAATTGCTTCCTTCCTTGATTGAGAAAAACAAGCATGTACGGGTACTTTTGAGATTTTTTGCTCATCATCGTAACACCAAGAGCCATGCTGCGGCTGCACATCGCTCTTCTCTGGTATAGCCACATACGTATTCTTTTTCTTTTAAAATGGAGTGCAGCAGAGTCGCAGTTGGTGTCAACAGGTGAAGGAATTAATGGCTGCACTTCATTTATCATCTAGTTGCCCTCACCGTTTGCGGTGTAGGGACTCTCACACTACAGGCAGTCTTCAGTTAGTGATATTGATGAGATCTGCATTGAATGAGATGATCTAGTACACAACAGCCAGGAAGAAGATAATATGGTAAAACATACATCATTTTTACATTTGGCCATGATGGTCTCGTGCATAATGAGATTTAGGTATGATTCCCACGATGCATGATCTGTTAAAGTTAAGATGCAACATCAATTTGCATATTTACACGGCGTTTCTTTTGATATAAGTATTTTATATTTTCAAGCAGCTAGAGAATACTGAGCATAAAGGTGAACACTTTTTCTTTCTACTCATCGCAATCGGTCACACTACATTGTATCACTCACGTGGTTCTTCATTTTCAGTTCCATATCTATGTTTGTTGGAGACTCGAGCTATCTCTTGGTCTTCCAATACTACACGTTTTCTAGATGCGTAAATTGTAATGGTGTCAATAATATAGAGTCTCTGCTGCTGGAACAAGTACGCTTCTGACTGTTCATTTTTGGGTATATTCAAGCCTGAAACGCGCGATGACTGAAGTCATATCGAATACAGCGTCTCTCCCTACATGATTTCTCGTTCCAGACGTCCCCGAGCTTGGCTATTTGTAAACATGTAGTTTGCATGTATGAAGACAGATCCTATCCTAAAGCTGTTTTGCTAGCGCTCAATGAACGAACATTAAATATCAAGCACATATTATTGGATATAGACATGAGAATGCAAAGCCGCCTATTTCCACATTCTATGTAATGTTTATATACATCATGCCTTGAGAGATCCTGCGTTGAGCTCGAATACCGTGTGCAATGTGTAATTACCAGCAATTGGTGTCATAAAGACCACGGGCATGCGAATGTGCTGTCCTGTTGTAGAATTGGATCGCCTTCTTAGCTTCATTCTGCAGCGGAAAAAACCTTTCTCGCAGAATTTCAAAGGCCTCATAGCTAGCTTCCTTCCGTCGTGGTTCGGTACCACGCGTGGCCACTTCACTGCCGTTTTGAGGTCGAGGACTTCCAATTCATTCGGCAAGTATATGAACAGCGCGGTATCATTGACTACGTTGTTTGCGGAGCTGCGGATGCCGATTATGATGGTGAATTTTTTTCCGGGGCACACGTATTTCGGTATTTGATTCATTTTGAGCTTGAAGCCGTCATAGCAAGGTAACAGGGTCGGG